CTCTCTCTCTCCGTGTGTGTGTGTGTGTGCAGGTGACCAACAGGAGGAGGACGATGAATGGAGGAGGAGGAGAGGGAGGGGGAAGAGCGGAGAGGGACCGCACTACTCAACCGTCCACACATATCTAGACGGTTTATGAATGCGCAGAGGACGGATGGCCAACACGAGTGGGAGGAGGAGGAGGAGGATGAACGGGAGGAGTGTGAGGAACAGCGGAACAAGGAACGCAAGGAGTGGGAGGAGAGGGAAGAGGAGGGGCTTGGGGGGACAATGGGCAGGGGCTACGCATGATTTGAAATGAATAGGGACAATTTCATGCACCCCATACATTCAGACCTTTCTCCTGCACCGGCCATTCTGATCTTCTGTATATCACGAACGGGCGGAGGAGGGATGACGAACAGGACTAGTGCGAGGTGGGGGGGGGAGGGGGGAGGAGTTGACGAGCACGAGGAGGAGGAGCTCGGGGGGACTCGGGAGGAAAAGGAGCGGGAGGAGGACGAGGGGCAGCTGTGGGACAAGGAGGGGAAGAAGACCGCCGGGAAGAGGATGAGGCGCGGGAGGACGACAAGCGAGAGGAGGAGCGGGACGACGTGCGATGTGTTTCGAGCAGTTTTATTCTTCTGCCGTGCGTGTGTGTGTGTGTGTGTGTGTGAGAGAGAGAGAGAGAGAGACAGAGGATGGTTATACTCCCTCTCCTGCTCGTGATACCGGGTGGGAGACAAGGGGCAGGAAGAGGTGCGCAGTGGGCGTAGCCCGCGGGCGGCTTACTTGTTATTTTTACCTGGTAGAGAATTTCGGTGCAACCCTGATGCAAAAGTTGTGCAGTTTATTTTTCTGCATAACATAATTTTTCTTTTTTTTTCCGATTTTTTGGATTTTTTTTTGTTTTCATTTGTTTTGGCAGGACCTTCCCTGGCCCTTGTGCGGCCCTGGCCACCCCCCAGCAACCAAGTTGACCCAGGGGCCCAGTTCTTACCCCAGCCTTTGTTTTTTTCCAAAAATTTTATCCGCCGCCTCTTCCCCCCCCCCCCCCCCCCCCCATTTTTCAACAGCCATATACTTCAACAGACTCGGGAAACACATCGCCACATACTCTCTTCTTCCTTTTTTTTTCCTTCTTTTTTTTTGGTCTGAAAAATCACATCGCCCCATACTCTCTTCTTCCCTTTTTTTTCTTTTTTCTTTTTTTTTTTGAAAAATCACATCGCCGCATACTCTCTTCTTCCTTTTCTTTCTTTTTTTTCTTTTTTTGAAAGTCCATACTCACCGCCAATTGACTTATCGTCTCGGAAGATGAATCAACATGCCAATCTGGTTCCAGCTGCCGCACAAAAGACATCTTCCCAATCTCGGATGAACAGAACAAGACCTTCGCGAATTATTTCAGAAAAAAAAAAAAAAAGAGGGAAACAAATTACGTTAGTCAATTTTTCAAAAGCGAAACAAAAAGCAAAACAAAACAAATCATGTAAGTGAGAACTGAAAAAGGTCACCAGGGTTCAAACTCTGCAAGCAAAGCTACCGCCATCGCCCGAATACAACACATGGTCAATATAGCTGTATCTGGAGTCTGGACTGAACATTGAACCAAACAAGTACAGCCATAATGACCTGTCGGTCATTATCGCTGTATCTGGACTGAAAATTGCCCGAAATACAGCCATAATGACCAGGCATTGTATTCGGGTGAAGACAATAGCTCTCATGGTGCGAGGGTTGGGCCCGCCAGTGGAGGCCCGACTGACACAAGTGTGCTAGGTAGGTATGTATGTCGACCGGTAGACAGGTAGTGAAAAGGTGAATTTGAGAGAAGAATAAGAATAACAGAAGAATAAGAATAGCAGAAGAATAAGAATAACAGAAAGAATCTGAAAGATCCTTTTTTTTTTTTTTTTTTTAAGAATAAGAATAACAAAACAATGTGTCAAATTCAGAAGAAGAATTCAGAAGAAGAATTCAGAAGAAGAGGAGGAGGAGGAGGAGGAGGAGGAGGAGGTTCTTCTTCTGCTGCTGCTGCTTTTCTTCTTAGATTTTAAGGAGGAGGAGGAGGAGGAGGAGGAGGTTCTTCTGCTTTTGATCTTAGCTTTTAAGGAGGAGGAGGAGGAGGAGGTTCAAGAAGAAGAAGAAGAAGAAGAAGAAGAAGAAGAAGAAGAAGAAGAAGAAGAAGGAGGAGGAGAAGGAGAAGAAGAAGGAGGAGGAGGAGGAGGAGAAGAAGAAGAANAGAAGAAGAAGAAGAAGAAGAAGAAGAAGAAGAAGAAGAAGAAGAAGAAGAAGAAGAAGAAGGAGGAGGAGGAGGAGGAGGAGGAGGAGGAGGAGGAGGAGAAGAAGGAGAAGGAGAAGAAGAAGAAGAAGAAGAAGATAGATAGATTTAGCAAGTATGCAGTTTTTGTTCCTTCGCCTGCGGAGGCACGCACGGAATTAGTAATCCAGAAATTCTTTGATCATTGGGTCAGTGAACACGGGATTCCACTGTCTATAGTTAGTGATAGAGACACCCGGTTCACTAGTCAGAACTGGCAGGAGTTGATGAGAGTCTATGACTCCAAGTTGTTGATGTCGTCTGGCCATCATCCAGAGACTAACGGTCAGACTGAACAAATGAATAAGATCCTGCAGCAAGTTCTGAGGATGTATATTATAGTAGGCCTGATCAAGTTAACTGGGATGAGATGCTCCCAAAGGTAGCAAGTGCATATAACAACAGCGTGCATTTAGCCACTTGTCGCACTCCCAATGAGTGCATAAGTCTTTCGGACCACGTAGACCATTCGAAGGACTACCGTTGTAGAGAACCTCAGGAAGGCCCAGCATAGGATGATAGAGCAAGCCAACAAGCACCGTCGCCCATCGCAGTTCAAGTAGGCGACTTAGTCTGGGTCAAGTCTAAAGAATTTGCTCCTGAGGAGAACATCTCACAGAAGCTACTGCCAGCGTACAGAGGACCGTGGCCAGTCCTAGAGAAGTCGAGGGCGGAGAGGATGGACCGTCCTACACGATAGAGATTCCAGCACACCTCCACGCCTCCCCAGTTTTCCATGTGTCGAAGTCGTTGCCCTGCAATACGAGTGATCAGTTCCCATCGCGAAGATCCATGATCCCTCCGGATATGGATGGCAGTACGACATTGATCACATAGTAGGGGAAGATGTCTTTAGAACTGGAGGTAGGGATCCTCCACAGAGACGGTACAAAGTCCGATTCTCTTTTCAGGAACCAGAAGACGACCGCTGGTACACACGAACAGAACTTCTAGAGACCGCTCCCGATATAGTTCGCGCCTAGCCCATGGCCCTAAGAAAATTACACTCTATAACCTTTCCTGAATGTCAGTTCAGTCGCCAGACCAATCCCAAATTCCACCCCTTAAGAAAAAAAAAAAAAATCCACCCCTTCAAAAAAAGTTAAAAATAAAAAATAAAAAAATCCACACCTCCAAAAGATTTTTTTTGTTTTGTTTTTCAAACCACCCCTTCGCAACCGTCCCATTCCTCCTAGCCAAGCCTTAACAACTACAACCTCAGAAATCGAAGGTTATAGCCTCTACATACCTATTACAATGTATAGCCTATAGCTTATAGCCTAGAGCCTATAGCCAGTAGCCTATAGCCTATAGCCAGTAGCCTATAGCCTGTAGCCTATAGCCTCTAACCTGTAGCCTATAGCCTATAGCCTATAGTCACTCCAGTTCTCATTCCTCTTCGAGTTCATTCCCTTCTCAACTGTTTGCGACTATGTGTTCCACAGAGTCGACATTGGAAGGCTATAGGCTATGGTGTCTAGCCTATAGCATTTCCTCCCAGTTCTGTCCAACTTCCACTTCCACTTCCACTTCAGGCCCTTTGTAACTGTGACATGCCTCTTTCCCAGCAAAGTATTTTCCAAAAGAGGAAAAAAAAAAAAAAGAACCGGCCAACACGAGGGGTATCCTCTAAAGGCATACTCACACTAGGCCCTCAAAATCTCAAAATCGCAGAATGAGCGGCCAGATAAAGCCCTCTGGTTACAAGCACTCTATCTGGACGTTCATTTTGCGATTTTGCAATTTTTGAGGGCCTAGTGTGAGTATGCCCTAAGGCAGCAGGGCGATATATTACAGAAGAACATAACATGGCCCACCTTCCACAATGCCAACAATGTTATAGTTCAACAAATTTTGTGAAAGGTGAGAATCACAATTGCCACATCTCAATACAACTCACACCGCTTGTATTCACCACCTATACACCTTTTGCACAGACCATTCTCGAATCCCTCTCCCTCCCTCCCCCCTCCACGCCTTGCCCTCCCGTCTCTCTCTCTCTCTCTCTCTCTCTCTCTCTCTCTCTCTCTCTCTCTCTCTCTCTCTCTCTCTCTCTC